AAAGGCGGAAAAAGACCATTTAGACGGAGCGTTTTTACCCAAACTTAGTGGAAATGGTGGAAAAACAAACGTAGATTTCAAGATGTGAATCACTAAAGTAAAAAAGCACATTCAGCGATGTGTTCAAAGACTCAAACGCAGACAGAAAGGCAGGAAAGGCATCAATCTGGCAGAGCGTCTGGACATCTGAAACCTTTTATTCTTCCATCCCCACCTCCTCTATCTTCTGATCTATTATCTTTCCATCCTCCATCTATCAGCCTACAGCTAAAAACAACCTATTTTTCTCTTGCAATCAACTCATATTTCCTTTTTCCAAAACCTTTCTTTGTCTTTTCTCTTCGTTCACCTTTTTATCCTCCTTAATCCACCGTCCTCCTTACATTTCTATTCAACTATGTGTCCCAGATCATCCATCTTTCCTGCATTTCCATCCATTTCACACTCCAGACTTTCGTAAACTGAGTCTGGACGCTTCGATTAACCTGTTAAGCCCCGAGCCTGTTTTTCAGGTTTCAGGCTCGAAAATGACATGCCCAAAACAAATGACTACAACTTCACTTCTAAAAGGGTTATATGAATAATTTCTTTTATCAAAGCAAGGTTACATCTGTGAGTTGGATGTAGAAGTGTCAGAATCAATATAGATTTTTCTCAGTCAAAGTAAATTCAGATGGAACATAGTAAAAAAAGGTAAATTCTTACCTCCGCCTAAAGAGAAAACATTACTTATAGTGAAAACCACCCTTGAATGATGGGATGGTAGACTAAAAGCTTTAGGAATCCAAACTATAACATATAATAAGTACCCTGTATCAAGATTGAGGCAAAACAAGTTAAATTTGACCTTTTTAGAGAGGTTTAGCAAAAAAAAGTTCCAGGCGGAATAAGCTTTCGGCACATTTGGGTACATCTGGTTCCATCAGTGCCATTTGACCTTTTTCAGGTACCAGACTATAAAAATGATGTATTACATTGAATTATCACCATAGGTATTCATTCCATCCAAAGAAAACAAATTAAAATTAAAAAAATTAATTTGTGGAAAAAAAAAAGACCCGCCGACGGGGGCTTTGGGGCTTAACAGGTTAAAGCTTTGGATGCCTTAGTTTCATGTGAGAAGACAGAAAGCTAGACGTTGATACACAATGATGCTCACTTGGTTGCTCAATCATGTTTGTTTGAACCTATTCCAGGTAGAAAAAAGACCACAGATTGTTCTGTTTTCCTTAAAAATAAGGATTTCTGCAGAGGAGTGTTTGACCATGAGAATAAACAGAGATTCATGTATCTGGATTGTGGTTTTATTACAAATAATGTCGCAATTAAAAGCAACGTTCCTACTATTTTTAAGGGTCTACTTTATCCCATAGTCCCTAAACTACAGCGAGGTTTGGCTCTCCTGTCATTTAGAGGTTTTCACATTAAAACGTTTTAATTACAGTAGGTTTTAGTAAAGCTCTTGTATCCCACAGTGGTCGAAGATGTCATTTTGAGAAGGATCAAATTCCTGCCGAGACACTAAATCTCTCTTATTTAAGGAAAGAGGAACACGGATATTTATTGCAAGCAGATTTAATCAGCTTTAAGAAACCCAAATCCAACCAAAATCACTCAAACCAAAAGACATGGATAAACAATTTTGGCTTCAAAAACGTTAAGGAACGCAACACACCCAGATGTTCCATTCACTCGATTTCCAACGAGAAGGGGGACGTTAAAGGTCCCCTATCATCTCTGATTGGCTGAAACACCAAACAGATCATTGCAGCATCCCATAATCCCCTCTGTTTCAGCCCTGTTTCCAAAGTGCTGATTCTCTGTCTGTTACTTTAGATGAAAATAAGGAGATTTGGTTAGAAAGAACACAATGGTGCTCTAGGAGGAGATTCAGGTGATAAGGGGGGGGGGGGGGGGGGGTTACCTTGGTTGGTGATTGGCTAATGGTTACACAAGACAACACATTGTTATGACATCATAAAGGGGCCAAAATCTGATCAGCTCATTTTCAGACAGGTTTTTATAGAAATGGATCAGGACAAAAAGAGAGAGAATGTTTGTTCCTGAAACTTTCAGAGTCTCTTTCCACAGAGGGGACACATGTTGATGAAGAAGAGACATGAAGAAGAGGGGACACATGTTGATGTAGAAGAGACATGAAGAAGAGGGGACACATGTTGATGTAGAAGAGACATGAAGAAGAGGGGACACATGTTGATGTAGAAGAGACATGAAGAAGAGGAGACACATGTTGATGTAGAAGAGACATGAAGAAGAGGGGACACATGTTGATGTAGAAGAGACATGAAGAAGAGGGGACACATGTTGATGTAGAAGAGACATGAAGAAGAGGAGACACATGTTGATGTAGAAGAGACATGAAGAAGAGGGGACACATGTTGATGTAGAAGAGACATGGAGAAGAGGGGACACATGTTGATGTAGAAGAGACATGAAGAAGAGGAGACACATGTTGATGTAGAAGAGACATGAAGAAGAGGGGACACATGTTGATGTAGAAGAGACATGAAGAAGAGGGGACACATGTTGATGTAGAAGAGACATGAAGAAGAGGGGACACATGTTGATGTAGAAGAGACATGAAGAAGAGGAGACACATGTTGATGTAGAAGAGACATGAAGAAGAGGGGACACATGTTGATGTAGGAGAGACATGAAGAAGAGGGGACACATGTTGATGTAGAAGAGACATGAAGAAGAGGGGACACATGTTGATGTAGAAGAGACATGAAGAAGAGGAGACACATGTTGATGTAGAAGAGATATGAAGAAGAGGGGACACATGTTGATGTAGAAGAGACATGAAGAAGAGGGGACACATGTTGATGTAGAAGAGACATGAAGAAGTGGATTTTGCATAATAGGTGACCTTTAAAACTCGCCAAAGACCTTCTTTACATCGCACCCAAAAACCCTGGTCGCCTGACAAGGACGAAAAGATGAAAGGATGTTTCCTTCAAGAGCAGAAGGGAGGGACGACGAGAGAAGATCCAGTAAACAAAGAGCGTTTTGTGTCATTTCAGACCACAAACGGGAGACTGGGGAGCGTGTGTGTGTGTGTGTGTGTGTGTGTGTGTGTGTGTGTGTGTGTGTGTGTGTGTGTGTGTGTGTGTGTGTGTGTGTGTGTGTGTGTGTGTGTGTGTGTGTGTGTGTGTGTGTGTGTGTGTGTGTGTGGTACATTCTTGGGTTTTGGGGCATGACTACGTTGCCATAAACTCTAAACATATAAATACTGACGCACGGAGAACACACAAATTATTCCCCGTAACAGCCCCGCGCTTAATCCGACATAATGGCTCGGAAACTGCTTCTGATGTCAAAGTGTTGAATAGCTGCAGTGATGCTGCTGGAAAATGTTAGAAAGGGGAAGGTGGGGGTAAAGAAAGGGGGTAAATGAAGCCTTAAGATGTACTTCTAGCATTGGATATAGATAGATACAGGGCTGAACATATATTGAAATCACTGCAGCATAATATTCGTTAAATATGTGTTGAAATATCCTTTTAAATCAAGTAGTGTGAAGCTACAAAGATATCCCAGCCTATACATAGTGTTCTACAGACTTCAACAAAACATAGTCCAATAGGCGCGTTCACACCAAGTACTTTGCCGTATTTAGTGCCGGCACTCAGTGCCCCGGCACTTTTTACCCCAGGGCACTTAGTACAGATCGCGTTCACACCGGAGTACTTTTCCCTGAGGGAAGATTACGCAAATGAGCCGCTGACGTCACTTCTTCTTCTTCTGCTTTGGGTTTACTGGCAGGCCGCAAACAACTTCACGGCATATACTGCCACCTGAAGTCCCCGGCCGGATGTCCCCGGAGTTGGGGAAGGCTTCAGTAGAAGCTGCTGGG